TGCAGGGGGCTGCCAGGCCTTTCTCCCAGGGAGCTGTCTCTCCTAGAGACGCCCCCATTCCCTCAGAGGCTGCCTTACTGGGGTGGAGGTGCGAGGAGGAAGCCTGCAACCCTCCAGGCTTTGCCGTTGACAGCGTCCCAGGCAGGCACCCTGGCCAGTGGGGAGAAGGTTGCAGGGTCCCCCAAATGTTGGACTTCTCTGCATTTTAGGTCTCTTGCCTCCAGGGCAAAACAGGCTGCCCTCACCCAGGGCCATCTCCCAGGGCTGTCTGTTGGGCCCTCCAGCTGGGCATGCTCTCGAGGTCATTGGTTCTCCTTGGACAGCTGCAGCTAAGGAACTGCACTCTGTTTGGGGGTAGCAGAGAAGAGCTAGGTTCCTGGACCATGCAAAGCACCCACTGGGTTAATCCGTGGCCTTGTCTTCTCCCAGGGAGAGAAGTGGCACAAATGGAGTCATGGGTCCCTGTGTTCTCCATCTCGGTTGAGGGCTGGTTTGGCAGAATTATTGGGCCTCCTTTCCCCTCATTCATGCCAATCGTCCGTGAATGAGCCCCACTGAACAGAAGTCATTCGCCGGCCCAGGCAACAGGGCCACATCCACCTTCTCAGCTGAGTAAGCTTATGGGGCTGGCAGAGTGGCTTTGAAGTGTGAGAGGTCCTCACTTGAGGAATTTGGGGTGGGGGGTGGGGGGCACAGAAACTGGGGAAAGGCGATCCCTGCGTTCAGCTTAGGAGCTTCTTTGAAAGGTTCTTGCAGGGGAGGGGGGAGGGGAGGGGAAGATCCCAGAAGGAGGCTTGCCTGAGCTGATCGCTGCCTACTGTGCTTCCCATGATCTCTCCTCCCGGAAGAGGATCCTGTGATCCTGGCCCAGCTTTCGGGCTTCAGAGGCTCCGTCTTTTCCCCAATGGCAGCCCCCGAAAGGCCCATGGATCTGCTTTCCCAGGGGAAGGAAGCAGGTCATTTAGAGTTCCTGGGTTCCCAGAAGTGAGAAATCGGTGGGCGAAAGAGCCCGGCAGAGGATGGCATCCTCAAAGCCTTTTCTCCACCACACTTGGTAAGAAAATTCCTGCCCCTGGTCTGTGCGAGAGTGTCTGGTAGCTTCTCTTCCCTGTGCCGTTTCCCACAACAACCATGTGCCTCACAAGCCAAAACACAGGAAGGCTCCATGTTGCCTGTCTTATCTAGCAGGGCGAAAGGTGAGCCAGCATTTGGAAGAACGGCTGGTGGAGCCCTTCCTATTTGAAGGGAAGAAAATTCCTGTCGTCTGCAGTTCAGTGTACACGCAGCACCCTCTAGTCCCCCATTACTACAGCTGTGTGTTTCCTGCACATTTCAGCTAACTGATCAGCAAAGAGTTCATCTATTTCCTCTCTGCTGGGTTGGGTGGCCTATACAATTTCAGACAGCTGGCTGTCCAGTCTCTTCTTAAAAGCCTCCAGTGATGGCGCCCCACAGCTTCTGAAGGCAAGCTGTTCTACTGATTGTCCTCACTGTTACAAAGTTTCTCCTTAATTCCAGGTTCCTTCTCTCCTTGATTAGTTTTCATCCATTGTTTCTTGTCTTGCTATCTGGTGCTTTGGAAAATAAGTTGACCCACTCCTCTTCTAAGTACCTCGCGGCCGGATCCTGTGGACCCAGGACAGTGGGTTGGGGGGGGAAGGGACAGAAGATTGACACCTATACCCAATTCCTGCAAGTATTCTTCATGCTTTAGCCTCAAGCCCTCTAATCATCTTAGTTACTCTTCTCTGCACTCTTTCCAGAGTCTCAACATCATTTTTACATTGTGGTGATCAAAACTGACTGCAGTATTCCAAGTGTGGTCTTACCAAGGCCTTATAAAGTGGTACTAATACTTCATGTGATCTTGATTCTATCGCAAAGCCTAGGATTGCATTGGCTTTTTTGGTAACTGCAGCACACTGCTGGCTCATATTTAAATGATTGTCCACTAGGACTCTAAAATCCCTCTTGCAGCTGCTGCTATTGACCTAATCTATAGCTCTACATTTGGTTTTTATTGCCTAAGTGTAAAACCTTACTTTTATCTACATTGAATTTCATTTTGTTAAATAGGGCCTAGTGGTCAAGTCTGTCAAGATCCATCTGGATCTTCAGCCTATCATCTAAGGCCGTGATGGCGAATCTATGGTACGCGTGCTGGAAGTGGCATGCTGAGCCATCTCTCTGGGCACACAAGCCATCGCCCGTTGCTCTTCCAGGTTCCAGCACGCCGGCCAGCTGGTCTTCATGTGTGCGGGAGCACCGGAAACTGGAAGAGCAGCCCCCCAGTGCGCATGCATGTGCCGGGAAATTGATCTTCTGGTTCCTGGCACGTGCATGTGCACAGGCACTGGTCTTTGTGCACACATGCGCACCAGAAACTGGAAGACCAGGTGGCCGGTGCACATGCACGTGCCAGAAACCGGAAGATCATCTTCCCGTCGTGCGCATGCACCGCGGGTGGCTGCTCTTCCAGTTTCTGGCACACAAGCGCTTTAGCACTTGGTGCTAAAAAGGTTCACCAACATTAATGAGTTCCCCTTCTATTCCCTCATCACTTAAATGAACATTTATGAAGATATTGAAGAGTCCTGGGCCTAAGATAGAACCTTGTGGTATCCCACTGCTTACTTCCCTCCATGCAGATGTAGTTCCATTAAGGACTGCGTTTAACTAATGTGTGCAGGAATCACACCATAGTAGTCACGGGGGGGGGGATTTTAACTACCATGACATCAATTGGGAGACAAACTTTGAAGCAAGTGGGAGATCAAACAGATGTAAACTGTTCAAAAGAAACAGACTCAACAAGAGGGCTGGATGTCACATTGTATGTAAGGAATTACTACACTTCCACAGTAGCAGTAGCACTTTATACTGCTTCACAGCCCTCTCTAAGCGGTTTACAGAGTCAGCCTCTTGCCCCCAACAATCTGGGTCCTCATTTTACCCACCTCGGAAGGATGGAAGGCTGAGTCAACCTTGAGCCAGGGAGAATCGAACTGCTGAACTGCTGGCAGCTTCTGGCAGCCGCTGGCAGTCAGCAAAAGTAGTCTGCAGTTCTCCATTCTAACCAGTGCACCACTGAGGTTCAGTACACAATACTAGGATGAAAGTATTTGGGTGATTATCAGAGGAAAAAGAAATGGTTTTGCTAAAGGGGTATACTATAGGTCCGTAATGGCGAACCTATGGCATGCGTGCCAGAAGTGGTACACAGAGCCATGTCGCCTGGCACACGCGGCGTCACCCATTCCTCTTCTGGGTTTCCGGCGCACGTATGCACACTGGCCAGCTAGTCTTCTGGTTACTCCCAGCTCTGCTCCTTTTCCTCTTCTGGGTTCAGGTGTGTCCCAGCGACAGCGGTTCTCGCACTGCTGCTTCCCCGGCGGCGGCAGGAGCAGTGGGCCAATGCTTCCGTCTCTCCCTGCCGGAGGTCTGGGGCCACACAAGAAGCCCACTTGGGCGGGGGGACAGGGAAGCCCCGCCCACCCGTCCTTGACGCCGCCATTCCCTTGCCCCTGGCGGTGGTAGTTCTCACACTGCTGCTTCCCTGGCGGTGGCAGGAGCAGCCAGCAGGGCAGAGAGAGCTTCCAGCCAGGATGCTGGAGCAGCCAGGAGTAGGAAAAGCCACCAGCGGGGAGGGGAGCTAACCCAGGAGGGCCGGAGGAGAGCACAGCTCTTCAGCTCTTCACACATGGAGACGTGCCGGCCGGGAAGCGATCGTGGTAAGTGGCATGCCGGCTGGGAAGCGGTCGCGCTATCTTGGAAGAAGTGGCAGGAGAGGGAGACTGTGCTGGCTTGTTCCAAGGCCAGGAAGGGGCTCTGGCTCAGAAAGAGGCAGTGAGGACCCCCAAAGTGCATGCGCACCAGACAGCTAGTCTTCGCACACACATGCGCACCAGAAACTAGCAGACGAGATGACTGGTGCTCATGTGTGTGCCGAAAACTAGAAGATTATGTGGTTTTTTTGGCACGCGCACATGCGTGCACTAGCATGCACCCATTTTGGCACTTGGTGCTAAAAATGTTTGAGCTTGCTCCTGTTTCGGCACTTGGTGCCAAAAAGGTTCGCCGTCATTGACCTATGGCAGTATCGTTCCTTTTTCCTTGCATATTAATCCAAATGCATTCAATAAGGTTTTCATCCTTGGTATTGTGGATTTCTGTAAAAGTGTAGTGATTTCTTACATATGATGCAACTTCACCTCCTCTTTCGTTAAGTCTGTTTCTTTTGAACAGTTTATATCCTTCTAAACTAGAGTACATACACTCCAGTCAACTTCCATCCCACCAAAGTAATGGCAACAATATTGTATTGCCCTCAAGTTCCCCCTGTTAGTTCCTCATACTTTGAGCTTTCGTATAGAGCACAGGTGTCATACTTGTGGTGTCACGTTGCTGTCATGTAACATTTCATGACATTTTCCCCCCTTCGCGGAGCTGGGGTGGGCGTGGCCTATGTGTGACGCATCTGGCTCATGGGCCGCCAGTTTGACACCTCTGGTATAGTGGCATCTGAGCCTTGTATGACTGAGCCTGCATTTGCTTCCTCTGTGTCCTCTTTTCTATCTGAGTTCCCCTTCCTTTACCTTATGGTTTGATTGGTTCTCAAGTGAGTTGCCACCTTGAAGTTGGCAATGCTGCAGTTCAGCCTCAAACAACTAGGTATTTGCTACCCAAATGCTGAATATCAGTGTTGCTTTTCTCTGTGTCATTGTTCAGATGGCAAAGCTAATACTGGCTTCATCCTAGAACAATGTGGACTGCTTGCTTGGTGTAGGCATTCCTTCTTCATGTTTTTCTCCTGGTGTTAGTGAATCACCATTTGGCTCCCTTTTTGTTATGAAATATGCAGCACCCACAGAAGGAAAGTGGGGACATTCCACCCCATGCAGCTTTATAGCCCAGAGTGGGCACATGGCAGAGGGAGGGAGACAGAGGCACCTGAAGACTGTGCCAGGGCAGTAATATGGCTAACACATTTCTCTTTCCAGAAGTCACAATGGGGAAGCACAACAGCAAGTTGGCTCCAGAGATGTTGGATGACCTGGTGAGGAGCACTGAATTTAATGAGCAGGAGCTGAAACAATGGTACAAGGGCTTTCTGAAAGACTGCCCCACGGGCATCCTCAACTTGGAGGAATTCCAGCAACTCTACATCAAGGTATGGTGTGGAGTGGGGAGGGCAGCTGAGTTGGGGCAGCTTGTTTCAACCAGCACGCTCTTGATGTATGAATGTCAGAGCTCTCAGAGTAGCCATAAAGCTTGCCTGTCCCATTTTAAGAAGTGTGTTGGTTGTGTCTTATGATGTATGATTTATCACTTTGTTGCTTGTGTGTATACTGAGAGCTTACCCACTGGAGACAAATTTCTTGTGTGTCCAAGCACACTTGACCAATAAAGAATGTTCTATTCTGTTCTACTTTCTGAGTACTATAGATCTGATGAAGCTCACTTGGATAATGTTGGTTTATCAGTGAGGCCTCCCATCTGCAGCTCAAGGTGGTCATTATGGCCATAGCACTTAGACTTTTATGCTACTTTACAGCCCTCTCTAAGCGGTTTACAGAGCCAGCCTTTCTCCCCAAACAATCTGGATCCTCATTATACCAATCTTGGAAGGATGGGTGGCTGAGTCAACCATGAGCCATTCAGAATCGAACTCCTGGTAGTGGGCAGTGAGTTAGCCCTGCAGTTCTGCATTCTAACCACTGCTCCATGGCTCTTACGTCTTGCATTATGTGCTGTAACATCAGTCCTGTGAGGCAGGAAAGAGTGACTGGCTCAGGGTTACCTAGCAAGCTCCTGGTTTACAAGAGAACTTGAGCCCAAGATTTGGTATACCATGAATAAATAAATCTGGGTTTCATCACTCCTAATCCAACAGATTAGCCATGTCATTATACTGGCTTTGCAAGGGATGGGAATGGGATGCACTCTTCAAGCCATTTGTGATTTTCTGGAATGAACCTTAGGAAAAGCAACAAAGTAGAAGTGGTGTTTCTGTGCAGCATTGGTTGGGTGAGGTTCTGGAGGGATGGGAGGCTGCTGCTGCTGGGGTATTTGCTGTTTCATCACCTGAGGGTGTCCTGTTGCTGGCAGCAGCTCTTGTGAAAACACCTCTCCCATTTTTCCTCTTGCAGTTTTTCCCCTATGGTGATGCATCCAAGTTCGCCCAGCATGCTTTCCGCACATTTGACAAGAATGGAGATGGGACCATTGACTTCCGGGAGTTCATTTGCGCTCTGTCCGTCACTTCCAGGGGCAGCTTTGAGCAAAAGCTGAATTGGGCCTTTGAGATGTACGACTTGGATGGCGACGGGAAGATCACACGCTTAGAGATGCTAGAGATCATCGAGGTAGCAGATGTTCCTTTGGATGGATTTCAGGCTTGCTTGAATTGGGCCAGTGCAGGGATGGCCAAGCTGAAATCATGTTGCTGAAGTTGCAACAGATCATCACTCAGAGGCTTCCCCCCCCTGGGAACCCCCTAAAATAGGCCTGATCAACGTAAAAAAATCAGGAAAATCAGGGAATCCTTGCGATTCCCAATCCCCCCCAAAGTTGTCCTTTCCCAAAGTGAAGAGCAGATAAATGCAATGGTACCATATCTCCCATAGGCTGATCCCATGCTCGTGGTCCTACCTTCAGGTATCCAGAAGTCTATGCGTGGTCTTATGGCTGCTCATTGCAGGTGGGGAGGCAGCAATGTAGGTATTTGGTCTTGTGATCAGCACTGGAAGAAACATTTTTCCCATCTGTCTTTCAGGCTATCTACAAGATGGTGGGTACTGTCATAATGATGCGGATGGATCAAGATGGGCTGACACCCCAGCAGCGGGTTGACAAGATCTTCACCAAGATGGACAAGGATAAAGATGACCAGATCAGCCTGGAAGAGTTTAAGGAGGCAGCCAAGAGCGACCCCTCAATTGTCCTCCTGCTGCAGTGCGACATGCAGAAGTAGAAGGGTTGGGGCTCTGGTCAGCCTGTCCCCTGCCCAGCTGTGCGCTGTCTTTCTTTTCTCTTTAGGGCTGCAAGCCCCCTCTGGAGGGAGGGAGGGAGGCCTGCTGTCTTTGCCCACATGAGTCTGCAAGTGCCTTTCCCAGCACTTGCGCTACCTGCCCTTCTCGGCACAGCCAGCACAGAGGTCCAGACGATGACCCTCTGGCCAGGTGCCTTAGCCGTTCAGCCAGAGATGTCCCCCTCGATCCACTGGCTCCGCTCTGGCTGGAGTCTCTGGCCTCTGCTTTTCTCCTTGGACAGGAAGCGTTCCCAACATTCTGGCAGCACATTTAACTTCCTATGGGCTGCCTGGATCCGAGTCCCAGATGTCTACAACTACAAGCTCAATTCTCTTAAATTACTAGCTCTTAGGGGTAGAAAAAATCTACACCCCCCTCTCCCTGTTGTGTCCCCCACAACAACAAATCTTTACAGATACCCTGTTTGATGGCAGGTCTCATCTGTGTTTTCCACTCAGTGTCCTGAGTCCCAAAAAGAGATGTTTCTTTCCTCTCCTCCTCCCCCACCACCAATCACTTCTTCACTACCATGAAGAGCCAACAGCAGATGCAACCATTTTTGGCCAGGGGGAGCCTGTGCTTCCTTTTTGGAAATTTTAAAAAAGTTATAACTCCCCCCACCTTTAGATCAGGGGTCAGTCTCCAAACTTGACAACTTTAAAACTTGTGGACTTCAGCTCTCAGAATTGAAGAGTTGGCTGCAGCTTTGGCTGGCTGGAGAATTCTAGGAGTTGAAGTTCACAAATCTTAAAGTTGCCAAATTCAGAAACCCCCAGCTTTAGGCCTTTGTTCCCTGCACAAATCTACCCTCTGGATCTCTTAATAATTCCCACCTCCAACCAGACAAAAGGTCCTGTCTGGGGATGGGGGAGCTGTATTCCCACCTCTCCGTAGAGGTTTGTTTGGGGAGGGCTGGCTGAGATTCCTGCTCTCCATCTTTGGAAGCAGAGGGACACCATCCCCCTCCTCAGCTGACCATTACAGCTCTCGGTAAAAAGTATATTTCTGTACTAATCTTATCATATGGAAAAGTACAGGTTGTTTTTGTTTTTGCTTCTGCTAATAATTCATTGTAATAATTAATGGACTAATAGATGCACTGGCTCTTCCAAAAAGCCAGGGACAGTGCCGAGAATCCGTAGTTGGTGGAGATTGCAGGCTCCTCAACCTGAGGTCCCCAGAAAGATTGTTCTTGGCTGGGCAGTGTGTTAAAAATAAAATGTTGGTGCAAGTAAAGGGTACCAGAGGGGACTCTTTCAATGAGCCTTGCCAGAGCCTGGGAATTTTGTGGAGGAATGCTGTTTGGAGACAGACATAACCTGTGACAGACATAAATAAGCTGCTTTTTGTTCCTTCCAGCTTGCAACCTGGGAACTAGCTATGCTCCTAAGGTGAAGAGGAAAAGGAGGTGTGTGCTTGCACAGCTGCATGCGTGCACATGTATTCCCCATGGCGGCAGGGAGCACCTGCCTTAGCTTTCCAGTGGTTCTGGCAATTCTGATGCCCTTCAACTTCCTCCCCCATAACATTTAAGGTTTGCAACTGAGCAGAAGTGCCCTGTGATTGATGCCCTGTGAAATTTAGGGCAAAGTGAATTGGCTACTCCAGAAGGCTAAGATGATGGTAACCCCCCTGCACTGAAGTGTCTGGTTAGGAGGGCTAAAAGGAAAAAGTACAGAAGCGCCAAGAAGAAGGGGGATGAGAATTTCAGGCACTCTTAGAAGGGGGGAACTTGCCCCCCCCTCGCAAAGCAGTGGATGGACTGGGCAAAAAACCCAAGACGGAGCATTGTTCCAGGCAGCGGTGGGTCATTTGCTCCCCAGCAGCTTTTGCGGGATGGGAGATTAGCTGTGGCTTGCCATGTGAATCAAAGGCCCTGAGTTCCTGTGTGGGAGGAAACAAGCCAGGTTGAATGAGACGGACTTTGTCCAAGCAGAATTCCAGTTAATTGCACTTTTTGTGGTGGGGATGAATTTAAAATGGACGTCTTCGGTTTCTTCTTGGCAGCTTTATGAGTGGGGCAGAAGAAATGAGGTGGGTTGGCCTAGAGTCCCAGGAAGGTTTCATGCCACCGCAAGGCAGCCACCGTCTGTGCCAAGGCAATCCCTTCGCCTGCCCTGCCCTTCCGTGCCCCGTCCTGCACTGAACATTGCTTTTGGAAATTGTCCTATTGCTTATTGTGGTTGTGAGTATTGTACTTGTTTAGGAACTGTGAGGTAGGTAGGGGAGTGTGTATGCGTGCACACACGTAAATCTATTTTTATTTAAGTGTTCAAAGGTATCCTCATTCCGGTGGGAGTTTTCAGTTTGGTCTCTGAATAAAAGGATGATCAATGGGTCTGGTCTGTCTCTGCGTACCAGGGAGGGGAGGGGAACCCTTGGGGGTCTCCAGTCTCACCTCATGCGTGGCTTGCCTGCCTCTACGACTTTCCCAAATGGTTTGCAGTGAGGAAACATGAGGAAACTACAGGAAAAGGGGGTTGCGGGTGAAAGCTGCCAGCATCTGGGAGCAACACATATGCTGGGAAACTAGAGAGGAGGACGGAAGCGTGAGGAGGCGCATGGAGGACCTGCCCCAGGCCTGCCCACCTGAAGCATCCCGGGCACTCCCACTCCAGTGGCACAGCTCCTTTGGGCCAAGAGCCACATCACACACACACTAGGGCTGAGCTCCAGCAAGGATTTGGAGCCCGAGCAAAAGCAAGGTTGACTCTACTTCAAAGTAATGCATTTAATTAAAAGCAGTTGGCATATTTATACTTTTCTGCCATATTAAAAGTCACCGTCCGTGGAGCCTCTGATGTTGGCAGCCAGCAGTCGTCATAAGGGCAACCAATTTGGGTGATTTTCCAAAAGGGCAGGAGGGGTTTCTGGCGGATCTGGACCTCAGAGGCTGCTGCTGGCCTCTCCCCCCCCCCCTGTGCCTCACTGGCTGGCTACAGAGCAGGCTTGACTACTGGATGCCAACAAGATGGACCGAGGGCCTGTTCCAGCCTTAGCACCTTCCCAATGTTCTTATCTATAGGTAATCCTTGATTTATAACCATTCACTTAGTGACCGTTCAAAACTGCAACAGCAAAAGTGACTCATGACTGTTTTTCACATTTACAACTGTTGCAACAGTCCCACAGTCACATGATCGAAATTCAGCTGTACCCACCCTATGGCTGCTTGGCAATCGACTTATTTATGACGGTTACAGTGATCCCCTTTTGGGACAAAGTCAATGTGGAAGCCAGATTCACTTCACAACCCAACTTAACAACTGTGACAAGAAAGGTCATAAAATGGGGCAAAACTCATTTAACAAATGTTTTGGTTAGCAACAGAAATTGTGGGGTCAATTGCAGTCCTAAATCAAGGACTACCGGTACTCTGCTCCTGGGGTGTCTGTTGGACAGTGACAGAGGCAAATGGATTGACACCCTGTTGCTTTTTTTTTTTTTTGTCCTTGCAAGTCCTAAGAGAGGGACGGCAGTCCTGGGGCAGCCTGTTTGCACAGGAGCTTCATTTGCCAGGCCACTCCAGCATCCACACTGGGCCACGGGCTCTGTGTAAAGCAAAGTGCTTTCAGGGATTTTTTTTTCAAGGTATAACACAAAGGCAAGAAATGGATTAACTTGGGAACTAAATAAAATCTGGGAAGCATCATCCTGTTGGTCAAAATTCTGAGACAAGGACAACACCTTAAATTCTTGAGGTTCACAAAAATGATCCCCCTCATCAGGTTGAACTAAAGTCATGTCATTTGTGGAGTCTGTTTCTTTGACAAGTATTTAAAAGCTGTTAAAGTAATGTAGGCGATAGGTTAACTTAAAGTAATGTTTTGGCTAGGTTTGTGTAGTATATTTGCTGAATTAACGCAAATACCTGGAATCAAGTTTTATCAAACTGGCGCCGTGCCCACCCAATGGCTGAAGACCGCATTGCCCATTGACAGTTATGGGCAACAAGCAGGTAATTGAGGTGGCAGTGGGCTGTTCCCCTTCCTAAATTGCCTCCAGGGGCCAACCTATCAATTCTGGTGGACTTTTTGACTGGCTACAGGTCTGATGTGGCTGTTTGACACGGGTGGCTGGTGGAAGAGAGGCTGAAGGTTTGATCTGCCTCAGCCCTGGGCCAACGCTTGCTCACTCCTGGACTCCACAGTTCAGGTGAGACTCCAAAGTGGGAAAGGGCTGCTGCGTGTCAGATGCATACAGCAGAGGGCAGTTTGGGACCCCAGAGTGAAAGCAAACGTCCTTTAGAAAACAATTGTCCAGCTAAGGGCCTGCCCACTGCATCGCTCCTGTTAAGGGGGCAGAAACCTCTTGTGTCTGGGGCTGACTTGATGCTGCAGCCAAATGGCAAAGCTAGTTTTGGGAATGAGTGAATGAAAATGGAGAGACTGCCCTTAAAAATCCACATTGTTGCTCTGCCCTCTTAAAGCAGCAATTTCAAACAAACAGACAAACTCCACCAACTGAGTCAGACTAGCCTTGCTGCCCCTGAGTGGCCCTTTGGGGGTCACTCAGTCCCAAGAGACTCTCCCCCCTCCCAACCAGCTTGAGGTGTCCTGCTTTCCCCTGAATCCTTGCTGGGACGCCTTTCCTCCCATCTTCAGGAGAAGCTTGGCCTTTCCTGCCTGAGAGACCCTCGGCTGAGTCTGCCTTGCAGGCATTTGTGGGGGGGGGGATACCCGGAGGCTCCAGCTGAAGCTGCCAAAGGACAGCAAAGTGTGCCCTCCCCAGACGATGTCAGGCCAGGCCCAGTGCCAATGTGCTGTTCCAGAGAAATTCCGCTTCCCAGTAAGATCCACTTGTTCCTTAATAGGTTGGCCAGACTTTTGTCCCACTTTTTCTCCAAGGCAGTTTCCATGAGGATTTCCCTTTGTTTTCGGCACAAGCAGCACCTTGCCAGGAGGCTCACCTAGAATTCCCCAGGGGGGGAAGCTGTGTGCAGGACTGCACCAGCTGTAGCTGTTGCTTGTGGATGCCAGAGTCATCCTGTTGAAGAAATGCGTCACGCTTAAGGAAGAGTGGGAGGCGAGCGGGCAGTGGCTCTGGGGCAAGGCCAGAGCCGGGGAATCGCACATTCCCCAACCCAGACAAGGCGGACGTCAAGCAGGCGGCAGCTCCGGGGTCAGACCGGAGCTGGGGAATCGCGTGTTCCCTGACCCAGCCGAGGCACATCCCTGGGGCCCCGGCCCCCGACCCAAGGTGAAGGGCGAGTGGGCAGCATGCATTGCTTACCTTTGGTGAGCTGAGCTGAGCGGGCATCAGCGAGGTGACTGGTGAGGCGATTAGCTGGGCTGCGTGGCGAAGGCAACATATATAGGGCAGCGGTGGGTGGAGTGAGCATTGAGCGACCGGAAGGGGCGAGCGAGGGGCAACTGGGCAGCGGCCGTGGCCAGCCAGTAGTCGCTACCGGTTCAGTGACCCAGGTCAAATTGCTGCTACCTGTTTGCCCGAACTGGTGGGAATTGGCTGAATACCACCTCTGAGGAGAATCCTTATCCTTCTAAGCAGCTGGATTTTGGACTGCTGTAACTAAAGCACTGCTTTTCTCCAGCCAATTACCAAGGGCCCATTTTCAGCACATGCCATTAATTTCTCTTAATGGCTTATTAAGCAATTGTGGTCACATTTAGGCTCAGATCTTTCAACTGGAATAGACCAAAATCCCATCAGGTTCACTTTTTAATCCGCAATTGACCACATGCTTTTGGAAAGGGAACAAGTGGAGCACATGGAGCTGAGCATCCTTCCTCCTGAATGCGGTTGACGGCAGGAGCCTTGGCTAGCCTGTGGCAAGTGGACATCAGTCAATCAAGGGATGGCAAGGATGGACACTTCATACCAGGAAGATTCCAGCAAGAGAAGAGGGTGGGGGAAGGGTGCAAGCCTGGGAATGCCTCTCCTCTTAGGAATAATGGGGGGAGGGGGCAAAGAATGGAAGAATGCAGATAATTTGTAAAAGTGAACCTTTAAAAAATCCCTTTTTGGTTATGTAATAAGAGTCCATTTGTTCCACTATTTGTGTTAACCACGATCTCCGTCCCCTCCCCCCACTCCATTTGTTTTTGATAACAGCAACATAAAAGATCCCTAAAATCAGGAGGTGATGCAAGACCTTCTCTTCCAGGAATGGGTGCAAATCTTGGCCCCTCTTGGTGGCCACTGATCCCTGGGAGCCCCTGCTGGATCTGAGAGGGTCTCCTTGCAGCACACGGCGTGCCTTTTTATGTAGCCTTTGCCATGAAGGTGGGCGTTCCTCTCCCAGGCTCTTTTAAGCCCGGACTCTTTTTGGCCAAGACAGAGGACCCCCCTCCTTCTGGGGCAGCGCGCGCTGGGTGTCCTGCCCCTCCGTCCCCACCCTGTGGGGCTGCCCACAGATTTAGCGGGTCTGAGGAAGGAAGCCGGGAAGGTGGGAGGACTTGGGCAGCTGCCGGGACAGTCGCTTTGCGAGCGAGAGCGCCCAGGAGGTTCACGGGATCCCTTATAAAGAGCGACACTGACACGCACCACACACGCAGCGGCTCGTCTGCCTCCTCTCCTGCGCGCCGACCGCTGCAGCTCCCGTCGGATTTGACGGCGGCGGGCTCTTTCTGCAGCTGAACTGGGGTCTTGGGCAGAAGGAAAGCAACCGGCCAGCTGGCTGCATCTTCGCCTGCTCCTGGACGGGTAGAGGGAATCCGCCATGGAGCCCACTGGATCCGGATGGCCGGAAAGCAGAGGGCAACCAAAAGAAGCGGGTTTGGAGGATGCCAAGGCCTTTTATGAAAACCTCTCTCCCCAAAAGAAGCCCAAATCAGTAAGAAAGATCGTTTTTCCTGCGGGGGTGGATGGGGGAAGGCTTACTTGTTTGCATGCAGGGCACTTGCGATGCTAGTCAGGCGAGAGGCAGCGTGAAATGCCAGGGCAAGTGAAAGAATCTGTGGAGCCTCTGCAGCCGAGCTGCTGGCGGCTTGGCTCTAAAGGGGGCATTTAGCACTGTTGAGGATGAGAGAGGTGGCTGCTTTTGAGGCGCAGAGATGCTTTCTGAATAGACGGCACTGGTCTGCAGAATTGGCCCTGTTTTCCCAGGGAAGCACTGCTCTTGCTTGCAAAATTGCTCCCCCCAACCCCGCAGGAACCTGAGATAGAAAGGAGGAGGAGCCTGCCTTCCTTGTGGGGGCCGAGATCTCTCTGCTGCTCAGTTCTCTGGCTACTTCTGTGTTTCATTGGCAACGGCAGGGCCCTGTTTGAGAAGGAGGGGGCTGCAGGCCACCATCTCCCACCTCAAATGCAATTTAGAGGCTTCCCTTGCAAGAAACTTTAGTGAAAAGTCTGGTTTTAGTCTTTAATGACAACATTAATATTGCTCTTCTTGAGCAGCATCTTTAAAATTCAATATTCCCAGCAACATGTGAAACCGACCCTCCCTAGCCAGAAAGAAAAACAGCACCCCAGAGTCCCTTGAGCCGCGGTAAACAGTTCAGTTCTCTCATGTGATGATTGGGCTGAGATTTCATGCTGTGTTTTGCTGTGAGGGTCTGCCCAGAGTCAGCCCTGCAAGGGGTCCCTCCTTACTTGCAGAGATAGACCTGGCCCCACTCGATCAAGCAACCTGGCCCACTTCTTTTCAAATAGGCAATGCTCACTGAGGAGCAATTACTCTCACTCCCCAGCCCCACTGTTGTCCCCAGTTCGGGTCTGAGCCTGGTGCAGAGGTCAATGAAGGATGCCAGACACAAGGTACATGTTTTGATTGGTTTTTATTGGGGTAGCCCAAGGAAAAGGGCTCCTGGCCAAAATGCCAAGAGAGCCAAGAACGAAGGATTAAGAAAGCTTTATACATTTTCACTAAAGAAGGCAGGACAAGGCGATGATAAGAAATATCATCTAATAAACATTTTAGTAATAATTATACAATTTGTTCTATTGGTCTCTAGCTGTCCCTATAACTAAGCCTTGGCTAATGAATGCCCCAGGAGTTATCTAATATACATTTTATTTGCTGCAGGCCATCTCTATTCTTAACTTTAAGCTGAGGTCTGCAAGTTGCCTAACTCTTTGTTACTTTTATCAGCTAACTACCCAGAATTGTTACAAGCTTTGCACGTGCATATTTCTTGTGAATAAGCAGTCTTTGTTCTTGTCAGACAGACTCCACAATTCCAGGCCTCCTGATTTACTTTCAAGTGTGTGTCATGACCTGGCTTTATTTTAGCAGACAGTCCATCACCACCATCTCACTGATGATTGCAATGTCCAACAAACTAGCATTGGTTGAAGGGCTGCCCATCTCCATTCTGCAAGGGAGCCTCTCCTTGATCTGGAACTTCTTGGAAATCTGGGATATCCATGACCTGTTTCCCCCAGACCAAGGGTCTCCAAACTGGGCAACTTTAGGATTTATGGACTTCAACTCCCAGAATTCCCCAGCCAGCAAAATAAAATTCTGGGAGTTGAAGTCCACAAATCCTAAAGTTGCCAAAGGTGGAGAGCTCTGTCCCAGATCATGCACTAACTTCCCCATTGCTGAATCGTGAGGAGAGGGGAAGTTTCAGAACCCGAGAGGCTCTCGAGTCAAATCTGTTGACGTCCGCTGCCCTCTTTTATCCTTTTTGCTAGCTGGACACAAGCATTAGCATCTGCCATCTCTTATAAAGCTTACAGAACGGACAGTCATGCCCCAAAGCCCTGAAATTCCTACAGGGACACACTGTACATCCATGTACAGAAATATTGCTGGCCCTCAGTTCAAGAGGAAAAGGATTTCAAGGAGAAACAATAATAATGATATCTGCAGAAATGGGGGCCCTGTGAACAGGCTCATTCTGCTTCTATGCTCAACCTCAGCCTTCTCAGCATCAGCCTTAGGGAGAACATCCGATCTTTATGGGGAGAAAGTCCAAGCAGCAACAGGGCCTTTAGCTGACCTTGCAGGCGGTAAAGCACACGTTGCAACACAGGGTCTGCCTGAATGATGGGAGTCCTTAGTGAGCAAGTGGCACATGAAGGTATCCTAAGTCAGCTGAAAAACCAGGAGGTTTTCTTTTCCTCCAAGGAGGTGAAGCCAGCTTTCCCATCTTTATTTATTTATTTATTTATTTATTTAATTTGATTTATATGCCGCCCTTCTCCGGAGACTCAGGGCGGCTTACAGTGCGTTAAGCAATAAGCAATAGCCTTCATACTTTTGTATATTTATACAAATTCAGCTTATTGCCCCCACAAACTGGGTCCTCATTTCACCTACCTTAGAAAGGATGGAAGGCTGAGTCAACCTTGAGCCTTGGAGAGATTCGAACCAGCAGTAAATTGCAGGCAGCTGTGTTAATAACAGGGTGCTTTAAACCACTGTAGTACCAAGGCTCTGTCACTCAGTTAGACTCACTGAATGGACCATGCTTAACTGGGTTTCCACAACCTACTAAATCCTAAAACATGTTTTGCTAACCATGATAGTTTCATTCACACCAAACAGCAGGTCAGACTAACCATACAATAATGTCCAGTGTGTGATAGTGTTGGTGGAAATGGAGTCTTGCTTGTGGGAACTCTTTTAGAGGTTTCTTCATATCATAAGTTTATTTGTCAAGCATATATAAGATAACAGGTAAAAGTATAAACATAATTTGAATACATGAAAAGAGTAAGTAAAAAGGAATATTAGGGCAGGGACGGTAGGCACGCTGGTGCACTTATGCATGCTCCTTTACCCCCAAAACCCAGCCACCATCCTAGCACTTGGGAATGAGCTACTGGAGGGGCCCAGGAAACTTCCCCAGCAATGCTGGTGGACAGTGGGGAGTTCTCAAAAGCTTTTTTAGAATGCCAGAAATAGGGAGCAGCAGAATGCCGGAACTGCAGGGCTGGCCAGGAAAAAAAGGCAAAGTGGCTGTCAGGTTCAGACAACACCCACACTAGAAATGGAGGATGCTTGCTATGGTTTAGCATGTACTGTAACATGAGACCAGCCATAAAGCAGAATGTATGACTTAACATGCCATGGGAATGCAGATACAGTCAACGAATCACCCAGCCAAAGTGGAGGCAGGCCTGGAATAAGGCAGAGAAGCCTTCAAGTCATACCTGAGAACTGAGGTTGCCCACTTTCTTCTGCGGCCCTTTAAACTCTGCAGGGCTTGGGGGTGGCGGCTTCTCTCTGTCCGGTGGGACCCGTTATCTGCCAATTTCTGCCAGTAAACTTAGGGCTGACCTGCCCCCATAGTCCTACCCTATACCTGCCCAACAAGCATTCTCATGCACCGTGCCCTCCAGCCAGGGTCTTGGTGAGGTTCCCCCTTCTGCCCTTTTGCCTCCGTGGACACTCCTGGGTAGACTGGCAAAGCTTCTTGTCCAGGAGGCAATCAGTCAGCCAGCATTTGGAAGGTGCACTAAGTTCTGCCTTGGCAGCAGCCGGGGTCAGAACAAAGAAGCTGGGATGTTCAGACACACTTGGATCCTGCTTTATTTTTCCGGGGGAAGCAGTGAGTAGAGTTCAGAAACTGCTTCGTCATCTGTTGAATATTGGTGTTTGCACAACCATGTTTGTCCGAGAGAACCATTTAATCCCAAACACTGTTTGGCACTGTTAGGGTTAAAAGTCTCCAGCCCTACATTAACTAGGTTGTGTTTGCATGGCATGCAAACCCTGTCTTTGACCCAAAGAAGGATATTTTGTGGCTCACGGCCAATGGGTCAAATCCAACCTGAAGAATTTGTACAATGCACGAGTGAAGCCATTGGTTGCTTTCACAGATTTCACCAAACCTAGGTTTGTTTATGTCATGGCTGGATTCATGCAGTGCACTCAACTAGACATCATTCTTTACCAACCTATGATAGCTGAGTAAGACTACTGTTCAGTAAAGCCAAAATAAAATGCCACAAAATGCATGGTGTAAACGAGGTCTCAGCCTTTGACTCTCAATCATGCACCTTCCTGAGACTTTGGGGCCGGGAACCTCTTCCTCTGAGCAGTCACCTTTGCCGGTCTTAGAGGGACTTTGGCTCTTCAGACTGGAGATGCCATAGCCAGCCTTGCCCACAAAAAGCTGCTCCTTTGAAGGACAACACTTCTTGGAATGAATCAGCGGCACTTCTCTGCTTGCACAACTCACCGTCAGCAGGCTGGACACACAGCTCACTGAGTCCCTAAGTGGCAGCCATGTGTGGCATTTCCACCTGGCAGCTTCCTGGTGTGAAATTGCTGAAGGTTGGCAGGAACAATGGCCTTCTCTTCCATCCAGTTCTTCTGGCCTTGTTGGGAGTGAGAAGCTGCTTCAAGGGGAAGGGGACCCTGGGCCAGGGAGGAAGAGAGGGAGAGCCTTTCGACTGGGAGGGAGCTGCCTGTCCCCCTCCCCTTACTAAATTTTATTTCTTTATTATTAAACTTCTATGCTGTCCATCTCACCAAGGTGACTTATAGTCATGCTATAATTAAAATACCATGTAAAACATTAAAACAATAAATAAGAACCATACGTTTAAAATTCAAATAACTAAGATGGAGAGGAAGGGTGTGCGTGGGGAGGAGGTGGGATCATCAGACTAATCCATCAACTACCTCCAAGATGCCCCTTTGCCTTTGCCAGGCCAGGCCAGCTGGCAGGGCCAGGTCTTCAAGCCCTCTTGGAAGGCCAGAAGTGAGGATTTCACCTGGGGCGGGGGGGGGAGGGAGGATGCTTCAAGTCCACATTGCTTGAACTGAGACCTCCATGCCAGGCGGGCCTGAGTGTCTCAGCAATGAAGAAAGGGCTTTAGATGTTAACACCAGCACACGCACACACTTATTTTTCATTATTATTAATTAATGGTAAGGGT